GTGGATGCTAGGAATCGAACCCGAGTCCTCTGCGTGGATGCTAGGAATCGCACCCGAGCACCTCTTCTGCAGGAACAGTCAGCGCTCCTAACTACTGAGCCACTTCTCCAGCTGCCAAGAGAGGTGCAGTTTTTTTGTTTTGTTTTTGAGGCAGGGTCTCTCTACATAGCCCTGGCTGTCCAAGAACTCACTATGCAGACCAGTCTGCCTCTGCCTCCCAAGTTCTGGGATTAAAGGTGTGCACCAGCATGCCTGGCCCCAATTGTGTGTGTGTGTGTGTGTGTGTGTGTGTGTGTGTGTGTGTGTGCGCGCGCGCGTGTGTTTATATGAGTGCTCCGAGCCTCGTGATGGTGCTCGGGTCACACAGACCATGGGTTCTGGGTGGCGAGAAGGCGGGGCTTACCTATCACGGAGACGGCACTGAGGGGCACGATGAGCGAGAGCGGGGCGAAGGCATAGGAGGTGAACACGCCCAGTTCTCCCAGCAGCAGCAAGAGCAGTCCTAGCCACCATGTCTTGGTCTTAAAGTAGGCCCGGGGGTCCTTGGAGCCTGCCAGGCGGATGTGGCAGTATTTCTAGAAGTCCAAGAAGGAATGCGATTTGACTAGATGTTTAACCAGGTGTTTAGAGAACATGAAAGACTCTGATGAAGGAATCCCAGCTAATACTGCACTTTTAAAAACCACACATGGGGGCCTGAGTTGGGTTTGGGGGTGACGTGGGTGAGACCTGAAAATGGACATTTCTTTGTGATTATGTGTACATATTCACATGTATGTAGATATGCATGCACGTGTGCGTAGAGAGTGAATGTTTACATGTATGTGGCTATGTACTCATGAGTGTGTGCATGTGTGTATGTGTGTGTGTGCGCGTGCGTGTGTGTATGTGTCCGTGTAGGCCAGAGGAAACAGTCTTTTGCCATAGTTTTTGAGACACAGTGACTCAGTGACCCCAGCTTGACACGCAGGCTAGGCTGGCTTGCCAGTGAGCCTGTCTCACCTGCCACCACCCTGGCACTGGTTTATACACGCACACTGCCACAACTGGCTGTTTTGACATAGGTTCTAGGAATGGAACTCAGGCCCTCAAGCCTACAGGACAGGAATTCACCCATTAAGCTATCGCTTCAGTCCCTTTCTTCCTCTTGAGACACTGGCTCATGTCACCCAGGCTGGTCTTGAAACTTCAAACCCTCAGGGCTGGAGAGATGGCTCAGGTGTTAAGAGCACATATGCCCTTACAGAGAACTCGGGTTTAGTTTCCAGCGCCCCTCGTGTGGCTCACAACTGTGCATAACTCCAGTTCCAGGGGATCTAATCTGATCCCCTCTTCTGACATCCACAGACACTAGACACACATGGCATACAGACACACAGACTGTCAAACACTCACATGCGTAAAAATAAATAAATAAATAGGAAAAAAAAGAAAAGAAATTAAAATCTTCCTGCCCCCAACCTCTTGAGTGCAGGGGTAACAGGCCATGTATACTGTGCCTGGGGCTCAGGGCGGGCCTCGGAGAACCACTGAGAAATCTAACCGAGGACATTTACTCACTGACTCCTATAGTGGTCGCCAGGCATGGGAACATTCTTGTCTCCTGGGACACATATGTACCAGTGCCCTAGGGCCTCAGGGGAGTTCCTCCAGATGCCAGCCTGCTGCACAGCACAGCTGTGGCTACCACCAGGCCAGGCACTGTGGGGGTTCTGTGGTAACTGCTGCCGTCCCTGTCCCTGAGACTCGAGGCACTGACAGTACTGGAATCAGAACTGAGGGTGATGGGCACCATGATGATCCCAGCAGCTGGAGGCACAGGGCAGCGTGAGACAAGACCTGGGCCTGTGGTTAAGATGTCACTGGTAGAGAGAAGGCTGGGGCTCAGCTGGGGAGACAGCACTATTAAAGAAATGTCTGCTGTACAAGCGTGAGTTTGGATCCTCACCATCTATGTGAAAAGCCAGGTACGGCAGTGGCTGCCTGTAATCCCAGCACTGGGGAGAAGGAGCAGGAAGTGGTTTTACTGGTCTCGCTATCCCTGAGCTCCAGGTTCAGTGAAAGAGCTTGACTCAAAAAAAAAAAAAAATATGGTGGGACTGGAGAGCCCACTCAGTGGTTAAGGGTAGTGTTGCTCCGCCAGAGGACCCGCTTTGGGTACCGCCCACAACTCTAGCTCCAGGGGAATCTGATGCCTCTGGACTCCGTAAGCACTCACACTTGTGTGCACACATCCCCTGCTGACACATAATTCAATGTGAAAGAAATCTTAACAAATAAACAGGGAGGAGAGCAATCAAGGAAGGCACTCACCATTGCTCTCTGGCTTCCATAAGCAGGTGGGCCCGCCTGCAAACACATGAGCACACACAAACACCACACACGCACACGCATGAAGAAAACTGGAGGATGTGACCCATGGGAGCCTGGTGGGTGTGGGGAGAGGAAGGAGAACAAAGACTGTAGAGAGATCCAGGCAGCACACGGGGTCCCCCCAGAGAGCAGACAGCAGACCTGGCAAACCCACCCTGCTCCTCTGCCTGGGACAGCGCTGGCACCGAAGACTCACCTGCAGGTTAAGGGCGATGCTGACCACGAGGTGCCCGAAAATCGCCAAGAGAGCGCCAATCAAGTTTTCCTAGAAGGGTCACAGAACAGACGTGAGTGGCATTTAAGTTCACAGGTACCAGGGCACATGTGATATTCAGCCGTCTGTCCCTTCCCTCCAGACCACCCAGGTGTCAGTCACCCAGCTCCTTAGAGATCCACAGGGCACTGTCCTGAGCTGGAAGCGTCCAGAAAACACGATACTTGGTTGTCCTCATCTTGGTGATCTGAACGGGCCTAAACTTGGCCCACCGGCCTCTGAGAGGCACTGACCTGCCACCATCTTGAATAGAAAGGTAATGTATAGAAACCAGTGTGGAGGAAGAGAAATGCAGGCTGGGGCTTCAACCACCACCATCTTGCCAGGGAAGTCTTACAGTTTAGCAAGAACCTCTCAAGTAGCCAGCTTCAGTGTGGACTTTTCAGTTATTAATCAATGCAAACCTCATTTATAATCACCCTAGCAATGAGAACCAGGCTCCTGGGCATGATACTTTTTTTTTTAAATAAAAAAATTACTCGACACACATTTAGGATAGAATAATTAGGAAGCACGGGTGACAAAAATGACAGTAAGAGCGGGGTGTGGTGGCCACACCTGTCATCCCAGCACACCTGTGGTCAAGGCAGGAGGATCAAGAGTTCAAGGCCATCCTTGAGATATTATCTCAGAAACCAGAAAACCTTGGGGCTGGAGAGATGGTTCCAGGTTTAAAGAAGGCATCTTGTTCTCAGAGTTCCCTTCCGGCATCTATATGAGGTTGCTCACAATTGTCTGCAGCTCCAGGGGGTCTGAAGCTTCCCATCCTCCCCTCACCCCACTACCACCCTACCCCTCCCATCTCCTCTCCCACCCTACCCCCCCCAACTCCTGGCACAGCACTGATCTACACAACATACTGTGAACATACCTCTGTGTCAGGCATACTGTATTCATCATTTTCAAAAGGTCAGCAGGTACCCTATCACCTAAGCTACAGCTCCCGCCCCAGATGACCATTTTAAATGTTTGTTCAGGTTTATGTACTTGAATGTTTTGCCTGAATGCATGTATGTGCATTGCCTGCATGCCTAGTGCCTGCACAGCCTGGGGGGGGGTCATCAGTTCCCCCAGAACTAGAGTTAGACACAGTTGTAAGTTGTCATGTGGGTGCTGGGATTCGAACCCAGGTCCTCTGCAAGAATAGCGCATGTTCTTAACTGCTGAGCCATCTCTGCCGTCCCCTAATCTATTTCTGATAGAGAAAACAGTGGTTTCATATGGTTCAACTTGTAACTGAGCCACTATTACTTTCACACAGAGACTATGCTGTCCTTTGATATCACATTGATGAAAAGAACGAGGCTGATGAGAAGGCAGAAGTTAAGAGCTAAATAAGGGGAAAGTGCCCTGCCACCCAGACAAGCCAACACCGCATCAGGGAGAGCTGATGAGGAGGAATGGGGAAGTGAAAACTAGGAAACCCACAAAGACAAACTAATCTAAGTACCAGGGCGTCTCACAGTAAAAGGTTTCGTGGTCAAGGCTGGCATTCATACAGTGCTCACATGTGATAGGGAGGCCCTGTAAAGGCTGGCGTTCACACAAGACTCACACGCGATGGGGGGGAGGCCCCGTCAAGGCTGGCGTCCACACAAGGCTCACACGTGATGGGGAAGGCCTTCTCTATACTTTCCCTTTGGGATACATACAAACTTAAGAAATAGACCCAACTCTGCCCGGGAGCTACTGAGGTGGGGTGGAATCATCGAGGAATGTCTGGGCCAGCCTTTGCCCTCTCCACAGCGAGTCCGTGGTGGCGGACACACCTATGACCTCAGCACTGGGGAAGTGGGCCATCCTTGGTTACACAGTGAGTTCAAGATCAGACTGGGCTACATAGCAAGACGTTGTCCCCAAAATAAATAAATAAATCAAAACCCATGGGGCTAGAGAGAGAGTTCAGTGGTTCCGAACTCTTAGTGCTCTTGCAGAGGACCCGGGTTTAATTCCCAGCACCCACACAGTAGCTCACAAACTTGTAGCTATTTCCAGGGATTCCTGATACCTCTTCTGGTCTCTGAGGACTCCTGAGGACACACGGAGCACATATATACACTC